GGCGATCCGAACCAGTAGCCCCCTACGGTTCTCTCCAAGCTTGCGAACGACTTGGGGCTCTGTGTTAGCATATTCGACAGGATGTTCCGCGCACTCCGCGGCCAAGAGTCGGCTGTGGTCCACCTGTCGATCTGCTACCGCATGCATCCGCAGCTACTCGCCTTTCCGAACGCAGCCTACTACGGCAAGGGCATGACGTCCGGCATCATGAACCCGCTTAGGGACAGGCCCATCGTTGAAGGCATCCCATGGAGAGACATCACACCCTGGGAACCCTGACGACTGCTGGCTGAGCTGGCCACCCTCACCGGTTCCGACGAGGACGACCTCCGCACGACCCTTGAGCAGTTGGACCCTCCGCAAAATGGAGACAAGCACCGTTTCCTGCTGGTCGACACACCCTCCTGGGAAGTAACGTCTAACCTCCAACCTGGCTGCGCCAACCTCCCCGAGGCAGCACAGGCCGTGGACATCGTGCGGGCACTCCTGCCCGAGCTCGAAAAAGGCACCTCCGTCAGAATCGTGGTCGGCTACCAGCTCCAGACGGCCATTATCATGGATGGCTGGCCGCAGGGTCCCCGCCATCTCTGCGGTGTCCTGCGGAATTCCAGGGGTGGCAAGAAGGGGAAGTCAGGCAAAGGGAAAGGCTGCGTCGCTCGCGACGGACAAGACACCCCCGGCCCCGGACCCGCCCCTCAAGAGCACACGGTGGACGTTCTCCGGTGGGAAACCGTCTTTCGGGAGGACCGCAATGCCCATGCAGCCATCGGCACTGCTTTCCCTGGACTCAGGCAGGTTGCGGGCGAGCACATGAAGAGTGGGGCGCTCAAGCTCACCACCATCGACTCCAGCCAGGGTGGTGAGGCGGACATCGTAATCGTGCTAACTACGAGGAGCAACGGGAGTCACGATTGGGGCTTTGTCGACGACGCCAAACGCCTGAACGTGGCAATCACTTGGGCCAAGCGGAACATCCTGATGTTGGGAGACGGGCGCATGTTCGCCAATGCCACCTGGTCCCAGCTGCGTGTGCTCTCTGAGTACGGGCGCTTGACCCGCCTCTGGGTTCGATTCGGGGGCAGCGCCCCCGCTGGCCACAGGAGATCCCTGGTCATCGACGAGAGCTTCGACCCGCTGCCCGCCCTCGCCACCTGGGTACCGTCACCTGTTGCCTGGAGCTGGGATGCAAAGGGGGAGAGCGGGCGAAATGAGCTTGATGCGGCCAAAAAGAAAGCACGTGACGCCCAGGCGAGCGGTTTCGCCGAGCGCTACAACACTCCCCTGGATGAGGACTTCGACTGGGACTCCCTGGGTGAGCTCATCTCGGCCGGCCTCAACGAGATTCTCTCGACGCCTGCCTTCCACGTGCTCATCTATCTGGTGGCGGGACTACACCCGCACGAGTTCTCGCTGGCGGAAACGCCGCGACAACCGGGCAAACTCGACCGCAAGGTTTTGTCGCACCTGGGCTTCCTGTTCGACATGTCCCTGGGTCTAGACGCAACCAATCTAGTCTGCAACATGCTCTGGGCCGCCATGGTGTGGACGCTCGGCCTTGGCACTCCCTGGCACGACGCGAACTACGCAATCCACGACGACTCCCTTCCACCGGTGCCACACGTCAAAGGAAGGCGTGTAACACTCTGTGGGCGGCGCCAGTGTACCCCCAAGGGACTCTTCCGACAGGTTCCCCGGGCGTGGAGCGCTGCGACCAAGGACTGCTGCAGGCACAGGAAGCACCCTGGAATGGCCGGCCTACAGGACATCGCGTGGCGCTTCCGACGACCCTAAGCGGGACCAGATCCGTAAGGAGATTATAGACACCGACGGCCTCCCCATGGAATCCTGCAAGGCCCGGTCGCTCTTGGTCGTCATGATGCTAATGCTCCGCGAGCCACGCGTGTTCCTGTGGCCCTTCTCTCACGCAGAGCAGACCGGGGATGTCATCGAAGCCATCCTGGGTTTCTGTGTCCCCTGGCAAGAAGCGCACCGAGGGTTCCGGCGCGACTTTGCACGAACCTGGGGACTCACGTTAGACGACCTAGCCGACCTCCACGGCCGCATCGAGGCAATCTTGCCCCACATCTCAAAGCTCGTAGCGGTGGCGCACCACCACCCGGAGGCGTGGGCAGCCGGCTGCCCGCAGACCTGGAGTGAAATGGACAGGCAGGACTTTCAGTTGAAGGCGCCGATTCTCGTCCTCGAGAAGATCGTCCCAGCCGCCTCTCTGGCTACCCTGGGCACGCACCGCTGCTCTGCGTGCGCGCTACACGTCGCGCTGGCGGGTTCCGACGCCTCCCTGGGCGACGACGACCGGCTTGCCGGGCTCGCCTATATCGGCGGCGGATTCGCATTATCCAACACCGACCTCAACGCCCCCTTGCCGTCCACCCCCGCCCCAGGCACCAGGCAGGACGCTCCACACATTCCCGACGACAGGCTGACACCCGAGCAGAAAAATTGCAGGTTCAAGTGCGACAGCTGCGGTAAGGACCAGCTACGCTCCACCGATGGCACGTGGATCTCCGACGACACGCGCCTGATGGTAGCACAGAACAGGCCCCAGGCCTACCTCAACGGTGCGAACACGGGGTGGCACTGCGAGACCTGCTGGATCCGATACCTGGAGGAACAGGGCATTCCAGCACCGACCGGCGCAACAATCGCCGACAAGGTCAAGGAGAGCGAACAACAGAGGACGGGTGCCGCAAGCAACGAAAAGGCGGACGTTCTCCCCTCCCTGGGTCACCTCCCGCTTGGCTTTGGATGCAGCCCCCAGGCGGACACGAGGTCGCTATCGGACCTCATCATGACGCCGACCGGCCCCAGCTGCCGCCCGCCCAGCAATTGCTCCAGGTCGCCTCCGCCTTCCGTGAAGAGGAGGACTTCCAGCCTCTTCTTCCAGCGGTTGGAGAGCGGAGCCAGGATGACTCCGACTGATGTTTTTTTTCCTTTTCTGTTTGTGGGACCTCTGGCCGTTTTTCCCTCGAAGTGGCCAGGGTTTTTTGCAGAGGCATGCAGAGATGAAGCGGCCTGTAGCGGTCAAAACAAATCCTCCTCCTCCTCCTCCTCGTCCTGCTCCTCCTCCTCCTCCTCCTCCTCCCCCCCCCCTCCTCCTCCTCCTCCTCCTCCTCCTCCTCCTCCTCCTCCTCCTCTTCCTCCTCCTCCTCCTCCTCCTCCTCCTCCTCCTCCTCCTCCTTCCTCTGACCCTCTGGAGGGCCCACCCGTCCTCGGCGCGAGCGCTGCCTCGCGGCACGGTGGTGGACCTCTTGTTTCCGCGCCCGGGGAGGGATGCCAGACCCGTCGCGGCCCCCCTGACAGGGGGGCGGCCAAGAGGGGGGTGATGACTAGGGGGGGTGGATATCATGGCGTGGGCCATGCTATCTCCTCAGGTTTCATGGTGCCTCTTCTTATCTCAACACGTTCCTGGGCCCCTCCCCACCGGGCCGCGCACATGCCGCCGGCCACCATTTGCGCCCCCCCCTCTTGGACCCCCCCCTCTTAGCCGCTCCCGACTGGCCCCCAGCGTAGAGCCCCATCGACGCCTTCCAGCGTGGCCTCTTATCGTCCCCCCCCACCCCTCCCAGTCGTGGCCCCCCCCTAGGTGCTCGTTTTGTTCATGCATTGTTTTGCCGATCGGCGCGGGCCCCAAAACCCCCCCCTCCCCCCCCCATGGAGTAGACCTTGGCTGTGTTTTGGGCGGTTGTTTCAGGCAGGTGGAGTCTCCCCTAGAGGCCGCACCTTGCAAACCGTCGCACTAAGCAGAGGTCCGGAGCCAGACCCCCCCCCTCCCCACCCCTTTCCGCCCAATGTCGAAACGCCGAACAAGAAAACGCCCACATGGTGGCCACCCATCGCGAACACTGCAAAGCTGTTTCGGGCATTCTGCTGCAAGGGTGTCACTCGCATGTGGCAATTCAGTATAATTCCTTTCTGATCGCCTCGCTGGGATGCTTCTTCGGGTGTCCCTTGGAGGATTCCTGAGGCATCATGTGGAGCGCGCGGTCTGAACTCGCGTGGGTTTTATACTCGACTTCGTTCCCTCGGTTTTGGAAGTCTTCTTGGGCTGTCTTGGAGGGTTCTCGTGCACTTTGGGGCCATCTGGGGGCTCTCATGAGGTGCTCTGTCCCTTGCCTGTGGCGGTCCGGGGCCGAAAACCCTCGGGAGCAGCAACTACATTGATTTGCAGTAGGTTTGTTCATCACTGTTCTCTTCAACGCTGTTCAACATCGTTCTCCTCGACGCTGCATGCGGCACAGATGGGAGGGACAGTTTACCACGCACGCGACGGCGTCTTTATGAACGTCTGCGACACCACGGTGTGAGTGCCCGGCCCGTCCGCTCCGACCCTCTCGCGGGCTCCGCTCCGGCGGGCTTGCGCGCTCCGCTCCGGTCCGCTCCTGTCCTCGGGGCGCCTCGCCGGGTGCCTCTTCGGGCGTCTTCAAGAGGCCCACTGCGGCAGTTCGGAGAGACGTCGTTCTCTTCGGGGGCTCGCTGGGCCGTCTTCGGACGGTCTTGAGGCCCACGACGGTTCAGCGCTGGGTCTGAATGCCCGCGGGTCTTCAACTCGACCTCGTCACCTCGGTGTTGGAGCCGTCTTGTGCCGCCTTGGAGGGTTTGCGGGCAGTTTGGGGACCATTTGGGGGCTCTTTTCGGGCAGTTGTGGGCCGTTTTTGGGGCTTCTGGGGGCTCTCTGATGCTTTTTCTGAGGCGACCTGAAGCCGAATGGCATCGGCAGCAACAAAACCTGTTTCTGCTGTCTGAGGTTTTCTTATGCTTTCGTTTCTTGGGGCCACTGGAGGCCTGCTGCAGATTCGATTGCAGGCTGATTGGGGCCTCTTAGAGAACTTGGGGGACTTTGGAAGCGTGGGGAGTGAGTTTTTGGATGGTCTTGGAGCTTTCGGCAACTGTTTGACGCTATGCTGAACTGTGCAGAACAGAGCGCCGCAAAGGAGATGCAGGGGGGGACACAGGGGGGCTCGGCCCTAGAAGCGCCAAAGAAATCTCACCAGAGACCGTGCCTACGGCACGGTGGCGGACCTCACTTGCCTCTTCTTCGTGGTCTACACAGCCCTCTTCGTGCTGCAGACCCCTGGCTGCTTTGGCTTGCCGCCATGGGAGCGAGAGGAGAAGGCGTTCCTGGCCGTGGTCGAGACGGTGAACTTCGTGCCCATGCTGTGCGTGCTCATCATGGCGACACGCATCCGTGCAGTGCAGCTGACCCAGGGCCAGCCAGACCACTACGGCCTCCCACAGTGGTGGGTCAAGGTGGCCATGCAGGTCTGCACGGGGTCGGTGATGGCCCTCGCGCTATTCGTGCTGGTGCTGTCCCAGGTGAACTCGGAGGTGCTCGAGGCGGTCACGAAGCAGCGAGGCAGAGGCACGGTGATTCTGAGGCTCACCCGCAACGCTATCATCCTCGGCATCTACCTGAGCTTCACCGTCATCTGCATTGGTGCGTGCATCATGCAGGCCCCGCCAGAGATGCCAGCCAGGCGAGACGGGGAGCCCAGGGACGTCGCGGCACTGTCCTGCACGCTGCTTCTCGCGGTGCTCTACTTCGGGATGTACTTGGTCCGCACATTCGCCACGTTCGCGAATCGCGCTGGGCTGCTCGGGCAGGCGCGGCGGTTCGGGAACGCACAGGAGCTGCTCCGCAACGCGACCGGCACCGTCGCCTTTGCACCCATGCTGGGCGTGCTGTTCATCGCGGCCCGCATGCGGATCTTCCAGATTGACCGCGAGGAGAAGGCGGAGCACTTTTGGCTGCCCGCCTGCTGCTGGCTCTGCGCCGGCAGCGTCTTGCTACAGACGGCGTTCATCGCCGCGCACTACTGCCTCGCCAGGGCCCAAGACGGGAGTGTAGAGCTGGACGAGGCCGCGGTCCCAAAGCACGCCAACGCGACGAAGGTCATAGAGTGGGCTCGCTCGGTGGCGATGGCCTGCCTCTACATTGGCGTCGTTGGCGTCACGGCCGCCGTCGTGCTCATGCGCCCGGTGGGGGGCACGAGGGAAGACATGCCCGTGTCGCTCACATGCGTAATCGTACTCGCCGTGCTGTACTTCGGGGTGTACTTCGCGCTCTGGGCGCTGCAGGTGGGCCGAGGCAGCTCCGCGTCCAGCGGCCAGGTGGCGCCACACAGCCTCGAGGACTACCTGCACGGCTGGGCCAAAGTTCAGGTCGCCTTCTGCCCAATGTTCTCCGTGCTCTTCCTCGCCACCCTGCTCAGGGCTCTGCTCCTCACCGGCGGCGCTGGCGCTCCTCAGGTCTGGTGCGAGGTGTCGCAGCAGGTGGCCACGGTTGCGATCGTCTTGTTGGTGACGGTCCGCTTCGACGTGCTCCTGCCGACCCCGATCCCGAAGTTGACGCTCGTGTGTGCGGCCTTGCAGTATGCCTGCCTGTTCGTGCTTTACATGTCCGCCATCGTCTGTGTCTTCGCCCTCTTCACCATGACGAGCGAGAGCGCTGGCCAGAACGCGCACTCGTTCGGCAAGTGGATCCAGGTTTTAAGTCGGGCATGCCCCTCTGCAGGAGGAATATTCCCTAACAGTCAAACGGTAGCCTGGGACGATGTCTCGATTATTGTTCTGTTATGTTTGAGTATGTTTGGAGTCTTTTTGATTGTTTGTCCAAAAACCGCCTGTAGGGGGACATGCCCGACCTAAATCCAGGTGCTGCAGACTGGCTGGCACTCGATGGCGGGCCGCTACCAGGGTCTGCGTGCGTTCTGAGCGCCAGGGCGGGGGCGGCGGCGCATCTTCTCGGCGCACGCTGGTCTTCGCTTCGTGCCCCGCGGGGGCCGGGTGCTGCTTGCTGGTGCCGGGGTGGCGGGGGCGTGCTGGTGGACAAGCGTATGTCCTGCGAGCTTGATACACGCACCACCATCATCATCATCATCATCAGCAGCAGCATCATCACCACCACCATCATCATTGCCACAATCATCATACCCACCACCACCATGATCATCACCATCATCAGCAGCCTCAGCATCATTATCATCACCATCATAATCACCATCATCATCAGCATCATCAGCATCGTCATCATAATCATCAACATTAACATCAGTAGTATTATAATACTCATCATCGTCAAATACTCATAAATTGTTTGCTGTCATGCGTATTGTAGGATTGGCGTTGTTATCTTTGATTCCAAGCCTGTTATTATGGCATGGCTTAAGTGTGTATTTATGTATACATATAACGGCGCACCGGGTCCGGGGGCCCGGGGCCGGGACCTCGACCACAAATGTGCGCCCCGGGGGGGCCGGAGGCTCGTCGGGGCTTGCCGGAGGCCTCCCCAGTCAGACAAGACGGCCCAAGAAGCGCCCAAGACGGCCCAAGAAATTTCCAAGAGGCCTCCAAGAGGGCTCCGAGATGCTGAAGATGGCCTCCAGACGTCCAAGGACGCCCCCAAGAGGCCCCAAGAAGCCTCCAACATGCGTCCCAAGAGGGCCCCTAGACGCAAAAATTGGCCCATTCCCTTCGTAAAACGTACATTTTCAACAAAGTTGTCTTTTGGGTTTTCCGACGTTACAGGACGGCCCAAGAGGCGCCCAAGACCGCCCCAAGACGGCCCAAGAAGCTTCCAAGAGGGCCCCAGGACAGCCCAAGAGGGCCCCAAGACGGCCCAAGAGGCGCCCAAGATGGCCCAAGAGGGCCCCAAGACGGGCCCAAGAGGGGGCCCAGAGGGGGACCACGAACCGCAAGCTCGAGCCTTCCGCCCCAAGAGGCCGCCAGGAGGCCCCCAGGAGGCCCCTCAAGAGGCCCCAGGAGACCCCAGACGTCCAAGGACGCCCCCAAGAGGCTCCAAGAAGCCTCCAACATGCGTCCCAAGAGGGCCCCTAGACGCAAGAATTGGCCCATTCCCTTCGTAAAACGTACAGTTTTAACAAAGTCGCCTTTTGGGCTTTCCGACGTTACAGGACGGCCCAAGAGGCGCCCAAGACCGCCCCAAGACGGCCCAAGAAGTTTCCCAGAGGGCCCCAGGACAGCCCAAGAGGGCCCCAAGACGGCCCAAGAGGCGCCCAAGATGGCCCAAGAGGGCCCCAAGACGGGCCCAAGAGGGGGCCCAGAGGGGGACCACGAACCGCAAGCTCGAGCCTTCCGCCCCAAGAGGCCGCCAGGAGGCCCCCAGGAGGCCCCTCAAGAGGCCCCAGGAGACCCCAGACGTCCAAGGACGCCCCCAAGAGGCCCCAAGAAGCCTCCAACATGCGTCCCAAGAGGGCCCCTAGACGCAAGAATTGGCCCATTCCCGTCGTAAAACGTACATTTTCAACAAAGTTGTCTTTTGGGCTTTCCGACGTTACAGGACGGCCCAAGAGGCGCCCAAGACCGCCCCAAGACGGCCCAAGAAGCTTCCAAGAGGGCCCCAGGACAGCCCAAGAGGGCCCCAAGACGGCCCAAGAGGCGCCCAAGATGGCCCAAGAGGGCCCCAAGACGGGCCCAAGAGGGGGCCCAGAGGGGGACCACGAACCGCAAGCTCGAGCCTTCCGCCCCAAGAGGCCGCCAGGAGGCCATCAGGAGGCCCCTCAAGAGGCCCCAGGAGACCCCAGACGTCCAAGGACGCCCCCAAGACGCTTCGCGTCACCAATTTCTTCTCGCAACGATTCCTGGGTCTGTGACTCGACAGAACCTCAGCGCGCGCGAAGCGCGCGCGTGGTTCGAGTTTGTGTGCATGTGATTATTCATGCATGTACTCATTCATGTATACTTATATATGCACTTGTTGTTCGCATTATTATTGCTACAATTGCAATTGTTCTTGCTTGTAGCCTCATCGTTGTAATCATCATCGACGCCGTTGTCGGAATCGTAATCGTCATCCTTATCATCACAGTCACCACCATCACGATTATGAAAGCATCGTCGTCGTCATCGTCATCGATGGTATTCTCCGGAACCCCAAGATAACTTGCGAGCTGATGGCCGGGATGATTGTGGATACATTCGTCGCTCCAGCGGTGTATGCCACGATGCAGACATTGCATGGGCAAGAGATATGCAAACATCATGGTCTCACAACTAATTATCCAGGAATGCATTCAGGACTTCATTCTCAAATGCAGGTTTGTGGGGAAACGAGGAAACGCCGCTGTTAAGGCACCTGCCTCTGCGGGCCAGCCTGTCGCAGACATAGTGGAATCATTTTTCTCGGGGATCAGAATGCAAAATCATTATACTCCAAGAACACTTGGGAACGATTATCTGGTACAGCTTCTGCTGGTTGAACGTGTTGTGAGCTCGATCTTCGAGGAGGGAGGGAGGGACAGATCAGGAAGACGAGGAACAGAGAGGATGAGGACGAGCAGGGGGGCGATAAGCAGGAGGATAAGTATCAGGAATACGGGGAAGCGAGGAACATGATGAGGAAGCGGAGGAGGAGGAGGAGGAAAGAAAAGCAGGAGGAGGATGTGGATCGGGATAATGCAGCAGAAGAGCTGCGATACTGCAGCCGATCCGCTACCACACGCTGACCCTGCCACCCAGGCGTTTCCGAAGATCGCCCTTGGTGAAGACCCAGCCCTCTAGGACGACGCCAGCGGGCGCCAAGCTGGGGTAACGACTCGGGCCCCAAACGGCATGACCCCCTCGTGGGTGACCCTGAGGTTCTTCATGAGATCAGCGATCCGGCGCTCCAGGGGAGCGTGCGGGGCGCTCCCGTAGACCTCCGTGCCGCACGTCGCGATCAGGTGGCTCATGATGAGGTTATCAATCGGATCGACCTCCGAGCAGAGCAGGCTGTACACCTCGTGCGGCTTCTTGTCGCAGGCGTCCAGCACCTCGAAGCACAGCATGTTCTTGGCAAGGATATCGCTCTTCGGCGGGTGCTTCTTGAAGAAGTCGTCGAGCATCGCGGCCTTCTGGGTCATTCGGTTCCACCCATTTCCTGAGCTCCAGGAAGCATGCCATGATGACGAACAAGTTGGGATACCCTTTTCTGTGACCGCTGCCGCCTTTGGTCTTCTCGTTTGGGGCTGTCTGGGCCGCCCAGGTCGGGGTCGTCTTGATGATGACGGCCTCAGCCTTGATTTTGGCTGCGCCGTGCACGATGGCGTTCACTGTGCGGAGGTCGGTCGCGTTCTTGATGCCCAGCTTGGCCATGCAAATCAACGAGCGGTAGATTTTGTGGTCCTTGCCCGAGGTCGCGCCCGATGCCGGGTCACCGCGCACTTACCCAGCGATGCGCTGCCTAGCTCGGCTTTCCAGGCGGTAAGCATGAGTTTCAGATCCCCGACTTAGGACGGCAGGGGTTGGTCAGGGATAACTCCTGATTCGGGTTTGGATTGCATTCAGCTCGAGCGTTTCCGGATCACATTATGTCCTATGTAGATACTTTCCAATTATGTCCAGAAACAGGACGTATTCCAGATCAAGCGGTTCCAGGGCTTTTCCGGATCACATTAGAGGACGCCAAATCAGGCCCTATTCGGACCAGGTCCATCCCAGATGATTCGGGTGCCCAAGAGGCACCTGCTAGAGCGGCTGATGCAGAAGATCGATGCAGAAGTTGCCGCGCGAGGCGAGATTGCAAATGGGCCTTGCCATGTCCCAAGTCATCGACACACCGCCCACACGGTGGGCATTCGACAGGCTCGATCTTGATCAGACGTGTTGTGGCGGAACCTCGGGCTCTCCGGGAATCGCAGCACCCGCACTCTCCAATGGCTTCCGCGCGTGGTGCTGAAAAGATGGTTAGTGAGGAGGAGGACGACGACGACGACGAGGAGGACGGGGAGGACGATGAGGACAAAAGAGGGGCGTGTGCAGGGAGGGGCGGCGGAGCCCGAGGAGGAGGAGGAGGAGGAGGAGGGAGGCGGAGGCGGAGGAGGAGGCGGAGGAGGCGGAGGAGGCGGAGGAGGAGGAGGAGGAGGATAATGACGATGATGCTGCTGCTGATGCTGATGATGATGATGCTGATGATGACGATGATGATCATGATGATGCTGGTGCTGCTGATGATGATGCTGCTGCTGATGATGATGATGAGGAGGATGAGGATGAGGATGAGGATGAGGATGAGGATGAGGATGAGGATGAGGATGAGGACGAGGACGATGATGAGGTACCAGCCCGACAGGAGTGCATGGCGGCTACCCCATGGAGTGGGATGAGAAGCCGCTATCTGCAGTCTTGGCCACCAAGACGCGATCCTTCCCCCAGCCACCACGTGCCATAGGATGGGTATTGGGCAGACTTACCGAGATCAGCAGCCTTCGGAACCAGGGCAAAACACCAGGAAAAGACGCGTACCTGGGGACCCTAGTCATGCAGCTGGTCAATATTTCATCCCATGGAGGCCCCTTTAGATCTGCTTGGAAAGATGGGAGCGTTTTCTGGCACCCAGTTTTGCGCTGCTTGGGAGTCATCCTCATGGTGGACCCAGAGGGGGCCAACAACATCATCACTGATATGATCCAGTTTGTCAAGGATTTCAAAAACTGCGTGTTCTTGTCTGGGGACCAGCTCGATTGGGCAGGATGGAAGGAATGGTGCCTACAGGCGGTTGAGGAGCACGGGGCTCGGGAGGCTCACAGGTTCCTCAAGGGGGTCGAAGTCCCCAAAGCCCACACGAGACCACCAGGAGAGCCCACGGAGACCGAGGTCAAGGAGCTCCTCCACAGTATCTCCATTCGGGCCCGCCTTGAGAACCAAAGAGTGCTCTGGAAGAAAGTCTGGTCGGCATCAGATCAACCGCGTGCCCTTTCGAGTTTGTCCAAGGCGGAATACCAGTAGGGAAGCGTGCTCAGGTGGACTCCATTCGCGGGAGTGCACGATGTTTCAAGGACTCCACTTGCACGCCAGACGGCTGGCACCCGAAGCACCTCTCGCTCCTCTGCGATGACGGCCTGCTCGTGGTGTCGCTCATTTTCCAATT